GTGCAGCTTCAATAACACTCTGGAATCTTCACACCATCCAGGACAAAGTAGCCCACTTGATTGACACCTCATCCACAAACATCCACTCCCTCCACCATTTGACACTCAGTAGCAGCAGTGCATATTATCTATAAGATGCGCTGCAGAAATTCACTAAAGATCCGTAGACAGCATCTTCCAAACCTATGCGCACTTCCGTCTAGAAAGACAAGGACAGCAGATACATGGGAACACCAATACCTATCAATTCACCTCCAAGCCTCTCATACTGACTAGGAAATATATTGCCATTCTTTCACTGTCACTGGGTCAAAATCCAGGAATTCCCTCCTTAACAGCATTGTGGGTCTACCTGCAGCACTTGGACTGCAGCAGTTCATGTAGGCAACTCGCCACCATCTTCTCAAAGGCAACTAAGGATGGGCAATACATGCCAGCCATTTAGGAATACCCACATCCCAGAAGTCAATAAAATAAATCCTTTCCTGTAATACTTTTTTTTAATGTTTAAAATAAAATTAAGGAAGTTATAAAGTAGTTTAATATTTTGCTAGATATGCAGAAGGATCACTAATGTTATTAAAATTCCAGCATGTAGCACCTTGGAACTCTGCAGGAGTTCCTGAACAGGCTCACTACCTGTTCACTAACAGTCTGACCTCATTTCATAGATACACAATCACTAAAGTAGAAAGCAAGAAATGTACGTTTAGTATCACATCTTACATTACAGTTTGGCTGTAAGGTGAAAAATGTAGTGCTGTTCCTCTTTGATGTTATTTTTAAAATTGATGGGTCCCTAACTAGACATATAATTTGTACTTGATAAAAACAAACACATTGTTTCTGATTGTTTAGGAATATAGGACTCAGGATTGATAAAATAATGTGTTTTAATTTGTATCAGAGAGAATTGGAAAGATCGTTTGGGAAAAAAGTGATTGACCACTAACAAAACTTGTTAGCCCAACAACACTGCTGAGGCTGTACACAACAGAAACTCTCAAGTTTGTTATTTCCATATTTTAATTTTAGATAATTTCAAAACAACGAAAAGTCAAGCATAATATAGCCAATTACTTTTGAGAAAATTATATGTATTTTCTTCAAGAAAAAACAAAGAAGCTGGATTTGGTAATGCTTGGAACCGTATAGTAAAGTTTGATTCCTGTTTTAAAGACATGATGCAAATGGGAGGCAATAGCCTAAAGGTGTTATCACTGGATTGTTAATCTGGAAACTCAGTTGATGTTCTGGGGCAAAAACAGAAATCGCTGGAAAAACTCAGCAGGTTTGGCAGCATCTGTGGAGAGCAATCAGAGTTAACATTTCAGTCAAGTGACCCTTCCTCAGAACTGAGGAAGAGTTCTGAGGGGGGGTCACTCAACGCAAAAAGATAACTCTGATTTCTCTCCACAGAGGCTGTCAGACCTGCTGAGCTTTTCCAGCAATTTCTGTTTTTGTTTCTGATTTACAACATCTGAAGTTCTTTCAGTTTTTATTTAATGTTTTGGAGACCTGATTTCAAATCCTGCCATGACAGATTGTGGAATTTGAATTCAATTTTAAAAATCTGGAATTAAGAATCTACCGATGACCCATTATCAAATGTTGGAAAAAACCCATTTGGCTCACTAATGTCTTTCAGGCATGGACATCTGCCATCTCACCTGGTCTAGCCTACATGTGACTCCCAACCCACGGCAATATGGTTGAGTGTCAATTAGGGATAAGCAATGAATACTGGTCTAGCCGTTGACACTCTCCTCCTGTGAATGAATAATAAAAACCAAAACACCTTGTAAAACAAAATTGAATAGTAAGGTTTCTCCAGGCCTCTGATATCAGACAGAATAGTATTTAATAGATGCCCACTTACAGTAAAAAAATAATGATAGGAAAAAAGTGACGCAGCATCAAATAGGAATATGAATAATGCATCCTAGGCATACTTCAATGGAATATATGAAGTGAAAGTGTATATGAAATTAATTAATTGACCTCTTTCTCTTGGAGATGTTTGTGCCCTTACCTAATAAGCTTTTCTTTAAGAGAACTGAATTGTATGGTTTTGCTGCCACTTGAAACATCAGAAGAAAGTGGGGAAGATATACGCATTTCCCCCCTCCAACTTTTGATCTTTTGAAACGCTCACCTGAAGTCAAGAATATGTAGTGTGACCTTGAGATACAGGATAAGCATGCAGAAGTGACTATTACATCTTGAGTAACTGACATGGAGGAATGCACTGTGAAAATGCACTGAAGAATGGGTCTTGCACATAGCGTTGTCCTGACGAGCAAGAGAATACATTTTAATGATAAGATACTGACACACGATCCATAGAGTAACTTTAAAACAGTCAGTGATATTGCTGAAAGGGGATAAAAAGTAAAATGTATCTTGGGTTGGGACAACTTTAGGCTGGGAGGAATACTTCAGAATTCATAAGATGGGTACAGGTGAAGGAAGAGCTGGAGAATCTTTTAAGCGCATGCATAATCTGTTGCTGTACTTGAATGATCCATAACCAGTGAAAAATGAGCCAAAGTCCTCAAAGGTTGATGGTACAGTTTCGTGGAATGAGGGAGAACAGAAGGAGAAAGCCAACAACTCAATATAAGAAAAAAGGAAGTAAAAATACAGGGAGACCCAGAAGGGAGATATTTGGCCCATTTGGAAGCCTACCTTCTGCTTCCAACACTGAGACAAGCATGATAGCAAGTTCATACAAAATACCACTGTACTGTCTGTATATATCTCCACGTTCTTAAGACCATCTTTCAACACACCATCTTCCCTTTGTCTCTAAATCAGATCAATCCTAGATAGGTCTATTAGCTTTATATTATCTGGAATAAATAATCAAGAAATTAGAGAACCAAACTTGTACCTTAGAAATAAAAAGGTTAGTGAAGAACTAGTTGCGAGAAGTCAAAAGGAGATTTCCTTCTCAAAGTGGGGGTGGGACTGTTGGAAATTGGGGTCCCCTTTATAACTTGTTATCTTAGTATTCTATATTTATTATTCCCTGTGTGGTGTCAGACTTCATTTAACTGTACTAAAGCAATAACTAGGCTTTTACCAGCGTGAATAAAAGAAGCATTGGGTGCTGCACTACCCTATTATGAGAGCAGTGTTTTACAACATAAGAAGAATTTGTTCTGAGAATGCATGAAAATTGACCTTCAAATGGAGATGGGCAAGGGGATAATAGTCATTTGACATCATGGGTAGCTGTCCCATGGTTATTGGCCAAAAGGATTCAATAATTGATTGATGTAGTGTTCAGTTTCCAGCCCCAAGAAATAGGGTATGCCAACAAGTTCTCAGTAGCAGAAAGTGGTACTCTTGGGGGTTGGAGAGGCTCCTCATTTGGCAGTCCTCAGAGAGCTGTCTACTCCAGATGGAAGATGAACCAGAAGAGGAAGAAGACCTAGGGAAGAGTTCTCTCACACTTCAGCTAGACAGCAGGATGCTGCCTTCATAACTTCAATGAGACTGACACACTCTGCAGGAACAGCCTGTTTGTTCTCTGGTATAAGTGAACCATCCTTCAATTGTCGATTGTAAACTGTTCTTTGTCTAATTAACCAATATATATTATATCTGTACTGTTGCTTATAGAGTCATAGAGTTATACAGCATGGAAACAGACCCTCAGTCCAACTTGTCCATGCCAACCAGGTGTCCTAAACCGAACTCGTCCCATTTACCTGAATTTGGCCCATATGCTTCTAAACCTTTCCTATCCATGTACTTGTCGAAATATCTTTTAAATGTTGTAATTGTACTCCTCTCTACCATCTCTTATGGCAGTTCATTCCATATATGCACACCCTCTGCGTGAAAAAGTTGCCCCTCAGGTCTGTTTTAAATCTTTTTCCTCTAACCTTAAACCTATGCTCTTCAGTTTTGGACTCCCCTACCCTGGGGGAAGAACCTTGACTATTCACCTTATTTATGCCTGTCATGATTTGATAAATCTCTATAAGTTCACTCAGCCTCCGACACTCTCGGGGAAAATGTCCCAGCTTATTCAGCCTCTCCCTGTAACTCAAACCCTCCACTCCTGGCAACATCGTTGCAAATCTTCTCTATACCCTTTCCAGTTTAATAACACCTTTCCTACAGCAGCATGACAAGAATTGTACGCAGTACTCCAAAAGTGGCCTCACCAATGTCTTGTACAGCCACAACATGCCATCCCAATTCCTATACTCAATACTCTGACCAATGAAGGCAAGTGTGCCATATACCTTCTTCGCCATCCAGTCTACCTGTGATGTCACTTTCAAGGAACTTTGTACCTGCATCCCTAGGCCTCTGTTTGACAACAGTCCAGGGGTCTATGATTAACTGTGTAAGTCCTGCCCTGTTTTGTCTTAGAAAAACTCAATAAAATGTCAGAAAATTGTTACAAATTGTCGACACCCTATTTTAGTCAACTTTGGTCTCAAGCCCCCAAAATCAACAGTACCATCCGTTAGAGACGAAAGAAACTGCAGAGGCTGGAATCCACGGTAGACAAATAGGAGGCTGGAAGAACACAGCAAGCCAGGTAGCATCTGGAGGAAAGGAACAGTCAACGTTTCGGGTACTGTTAGCTTTATTTTATGACCAGAACTCCGTAATGTATTTTACAACTTCCTCCAGTAATTGTTTTTGGAATTAATTGAATTCCGCTTCCATTGGATGGATGGAAACCCGTACTTTAAAAACTGATGGAATTGAGGACTTTTAATTTTGAACGTCAACCAATGCAGACCTGCAAAATAAAGATGCTGTCTCTTTAATAAAGAAATATATGTATTAAGAAATGATGGTAGGTGACTTCATATGAATTACGTTTGTGCAATATACTTACTTCGATGCTAGTAAAGCATTATTTAACGTATTCTAAATTTGTTGCAAAAGTAAAATAGTTTTGATTAGCGTAAGTTACTGAGTAAGTGGATTTAGTGAGGCAATGTTGTATGTTATGTGAGTGGTCCTCCCTCAGCAGCGACAGTGAGTGGAGGTGTCTACATTATGACGCTGCTGATAGTCAGGCTGTTGCTGGTTGCCTGTCCGGAGACGCCATTGCTGTTTGAAAAGCGAAAGCTGCGAGAGGCTGAAGGAGAAGCGCCATAGAAACAGGGCGGCTTCACTCCGCCGTTCTGGAGCTTTTTACCTTTCCTTACAGGGAAGGACGGTTGAACAGGGCTAATTTCTCCCCGACGAGACCGAAGCGCGGAGATCGCCTGGTTCACCAGAGCGGTCGGTCGTTACCTTCCGGCCCTGCCCTCTCCTCCCCTTTGGTTTGAGTTCGGTTGCCGTGAGCGTGTTGGCGGATCATGGCGTGTGGGGCCACACTGAAACGAAGCGTCGAGTTTGACGCGTTGCTCAGTCCCCAGTCTCAGTCCCCCAAGCGGAGGCGGTGTATGCCTTTAACAGGGCCCGGCACTGGGACACCATCGCCCCAGAAGTACCTGAAGACCGAGCCAGCGGCCTTTGGCGGAGAGAGCTCCTCAGCCCATCGACTCACACCAGGTAAAATAACCAGCGGCGAGCAATGGCAAAGCCAGACAATAGCAATGAAAATGACGATTATTTGTGGTGTTAAAGGTGCAGCTTCCTAGGGAATTCGTTCAGTCTTTGTTTCGTATTCTGCTTCACTGCCGTTAGACCTTTTGCACCTCTACAACTAGAAACTTGATAGGCTACCAGCGTCAAACAGGCTGAATTTTGCACACTGTAAAGCTGGAAATCGATTTTTTTTTTAAAAAAACAACCATCCCTCAAAACGGCTGCCATCTTTTTTTAAAAACAGGAGGAGGGGTACTTGACTGCTGCTAAATCTTCTTCGGTGATTACTGTCTTTTGCTATATTAGTATTTTAATATTCTCCGACCTGCCAGTTACTTTGTTTGGGAGGGGGAAAATCTCATCGAGGTCTCCCGAAAACCCATGAAGGATTAGTTGGCGGAAGTCTTATTCCTTACTTATGAATGTATCTTCACATGATATGTAAACCCAATTCTAATCCTACTTTTAATTGCTACTTCTATTGTTTTGCGCTTCCAATCAAGCCTTCTACATTAGAAAAAGTGCATTAGTGCAGCGTTTTCAACTATCGGCCGTTTCAAATCAAGACAACTGTTCAGAATTGAAATTAAAATCGTTTCCTCGCAATCATCTTTTTTTAATAAACAAATTATGCTCAAAGTTAATTAATACCTAATGCATTAGGGATTTAAATGTAATCTATTTAAATTAATTTATTATACTGTGAGAGTGTAGGCTGGTAGCATGCTTGTATTAATTTTTGGTAAATTATCTTTTAGATACACTGGTTTTTGAACAAAGATCTTCATGAAATCAAAAGTTTCTGGTATATTAAAATGTTTAATTGTAGTTTAAATCTATTAAAGAATCCCTGGTACATTGGTTTATTTTTGTTTTGAAAACACTTTTTTAAAAAATATTTTTGGAAGTGGGCATTTTTGAGATTATAACTGTAGTGGACTAATTCATATATTCACTGACTAATGTCAGATTTTTGTATAGATAAATGTGTTTCATGTTTGCAAGGTAAACTAAAGACAAATGAAATAAACTGAAGACAAATTCCATTTATGAATGCAGAATCTAAAGTGACAATGCCAAGCTTAGTGGTTTTGCTTGTATTGATTAGATGCAAGATGCTGTGTTGCGGGGATTTTGTTTTTGTAGTTTAAATCTGCAATAAGCACTCCTGATCTAATATGTACTGCAATCTGTGACACTCAATCTGCAAAATTGAGGGAAGTGAATATGAGCCAGTAATAGTAATTTAGCTCATTAAATCTCTGTTTTTAAGTGGGCATAGCCGTCATCTCCCGCACCTCGGATTGGCGCTCAGTCAGTTCAGAGTGATCTTTATGGTTGGAGTGGAGAGGACTATGAAGATTTAGCATTAATAGAGCTGAAAATTTACCTCAATTGTAACTGAATTGACTGCTTGATATGAGTTATCTACAGCAAATTTTAATATTTCTTAGAACTGCTAACCCTTCATAAACAAACATTGTTTTTTTAAATATAAAGTTGGCATTTAAATATTTTTGAAATTGGAGGTCATTCTCTTTACAGTCTAATTTTATCAGAGTCAAATAAACCAAGTGCTTAATAGATGTGAAGTTTTCGAGGCCTGTCAAGCCTGCAACTCCAACAACGTTTAAAGCTTGACGCTATCCAGGACACAACAGCCTGTTTGATTGGCACCACATCTACCTCCTCCAATGCTTATCGTCAACAAGATCCACTACAGAAATTCACCAGAGTTCCTTAGGCAGAACTTTACAAACCCATGAGTGCTATCATCTTTCAGATGAGTTGATTTATATGTCCTCTGATGTGTGTTGCTATTATAAAAGACTTCAGGAAGAGAATGTGTGGCAAATGAAAGCTCCTGGTATAGGGTAACAGGAGCATGGACAGAAGACTTTTTGGCATAATACAGTATGCATAAACAGGTCCGTTTCTCTTTGTCAGGAAATGATTATGTAAGTGGGTCTATGCCAGGCACTGGCCTTTTACAATTGTCACCAATGACTTTAGATGAGGGAAGTGAAGGCATGGTAGCTAAATTTGAAGATGACAAAGGAAAGTGTGTTGTGAAGAAGACCAGAAGGATGTAAGTTGAATGAGTGCCATAAATCTGGCAGAACATAATGAAGGGGAAATGTGAAATTTTGGCAGGAAGAATTAAAAAGACTACTAATACTTAAAAGGAGAATGACTGCAGAATTGAGGTGCAGAGGGATTTGGTGTTGTAGTGCATTAGTCACAAAGTTGGTATGCAGTTACAGCATGTAATTGAGAAGGCTAATGGAATGCTATCTTTAGTAGAAATGAAAAAAAGAAAGGATGCCCTATGCTTCAGTTACACAGGGCACTGAGATCGCATCTCCAGTTTTCTCTGCAGGTTTGGCCTCCTTATTTAGGGAAGGATCTAAATGCATTGGAGGCATTTCAGAGGTTTACTAGATTGATACCTCAAATGTGTGAAAAGTTGGGCAGGCTGATTTCTTTCACTAGCACTAAGAAGAATAAGAGATGACTTGATTTGAAGTGTAATAGATCAAGAATAAGGTTCTTGTGACTCAATGGTAGTGTCCCTAATTCTGAGCTAGGAGCTGATTTCAAGTCCCACCTGCACTGGAGGTACATGATAACATGTGTAAGCAGCTTTATTAAAATCACTGCAAAGTCAAAATTGGCTTTGACGAGGCTATTCCTGTAGTGGATAAGCCCAGAACTACGGGGATCGCTGTCTTAAAGCTAGCATTGCGCTTTCAGGACCCAAGATGATGAGATTCTTGGAGGATCTATCCACCTCAGAAGGTGTTGAAAACAGCATTGTTGATTTCCTTGCCTACCTCTGCCTTAAATATTCAAGGGTTATTAGTGAGTAGATAGGAATGAGGAATTTGGAACGAATCAATCATGATCTTATTGAATGGCAAAGCAGAGTTGATGGGCTGAATAGCCTACTTCAACTTCTATTTCATGTGTTTGTATTACTGGGTTGAAAGCTCATCGCAAATCTTGAACAAGCCAATATGGAACAATTCTAACATGAGTATAATTCAGTTGGAAAGCCAAATGGAGTAAAGCCAGCTATAGGGTTGTGTGGCACAGTGGTGGTGTTCCTACTTCTGAACCAAAAGGCCTGGGTTCAACTCCCTTCTACTTCCGAGGTGTCATTTCGTCTCTGAACAGGTTAATTATAAAAATCTTCATTTCCCATGTGAGATAATCTCTCTGAAACGTTATAGTATTTGAAGCAAATTTGCTAATGGTTTAAAAAGATTTAAATCTTGTAGAAAATGGGGAGAGAAAGATCCTAGATAACCAGGTGTAGAGCTGGATGAACACAGCACGCCAAGCAGCAGAGGAGCAGGAAGGCTGACGTTTCGGGCCTAGACCCTTCTTCAGAAAAATTTTCTGAAGAAGGGTC